GGGTGGAGAAATCTGGTCACTGAACTCTTGGGCCTTCCCTTCAAGAACAGCGCTTGCTGAAGCAGAGGGAAACAGATGCGGCTGTGTTGGGAGAGCCAGTTGGCTGCAGAGCCACTGCTGTCTCCCCACCCATCGGAGACCCGGTGGCCCACAGTCCTGGATATTCCACCTTGGGTCCCAAGAAGCCACAAACTCTCCAGGGAGGGAGGGAGGGAGGAAGGGTAGGAGAGAGGACGGTAGGGTCTGTGAAGTGATGTCTGGAGACGCAGAAGGACCCAGACTGAGGGGATGCAGCCACTAAATCAGTCTCACACAGTCACAGCCACAAGTCAGTCTTCCCAACACAGTCTGCGTAGGTGGCTGTGACTCCTTCCCACAGACAGAAGTCTGAGGGCCCTAAGGGACCTGAGTCGTCAGAGACCACACACACAGACTCAGCTTGAAAGGGCCCCCTAGTCAGGCCTCCCCAGCACCCCCTCCCAATTGTGGGCCTTGAGGGGAGGGGCAGATCCCTCCCCACAAAAACCAGGGGTAGTGCCTACGGCGGCCATCGCCATGGCAACCAACAACAAACATCCCAGGAACCACAGTGGGACAGGAAGTGATGAGCACGTGACAGGAAGACTTTTTTTCTCACTGTAAGGAGGGGGGGTGCTGACAGGAGAGTTTGCAGCCATTGGGGAATCAGCTGTCGTCCCCCAACATTCCCCTACCTGGAGTTGGAGAGAAGGTGGGACGGGGGATGGTTGTCCACCCCCCACCACTGTGTGCACGGTCAGTTCACGCCGGGCTCCAAGTGCCCTCCTCCACCTGCCACTCAAGGCTACCCCCCTTCATCCCCCTCATCTCCACTTCCTGCCGTGACTGGAGATCAGAGAACTCCATCCCACAGCTTCCCCTTCTCAAGTCTCGATTCCTGGGCTGAAGGTTTCGCTGTGAGGCGAGGGACAGAAGGGCCGGGGACCTGCAGTAGAGCCCCAGGGACAGATGCTCTGGAGGAGGGGCCGGGAGGGGCCACCCCACAGGTGTGGACTCAGGGCACACAGTGCGTAGGTCACCGTGACACACTGAGGCTGCCTGACCTTAGGCAATTTTGGAAGAGGGAGCCAGGGCCAGAGGACCTAACCAGCGCCCCGTGAACCCCACAGGGTCCTAGCCTGAGCCTCAAAGTTCGTTCTGGTTTCCCCATGGCCTCCAAGCAGGCAAATTCGAAATTTCTCAGCCTCTACCACCACTCCCCTGCCTTTTGTGCTGAGGAATCCCTGCTCCCTGTTCCAAGGTGCCCGCCCAGACGAGGGCACCTTGGCTGAGGTGAGGGGAATGGAACCTCCCTCCACTCCCCTCCCCTTCTCTGCAGATGTCCCAGCCTATATTTAGCTCAAACTGGGCGGCCAGCCAGCTCCAGACTCCCCACCGGCCGAGAGCTGAGCTCCCAGTTTTATGCAATTAAAACATTAAGAGAACCCCCCATCTGCTCCCCACCCATTCGCGCGCGCACACACACACACACTCACACACACACACACACACACACACACACACACACACACACACACACACACACACATGCCCTGTCAAGGCAGGAGAGCTCTAAGAACTTGAAGGAGGGCTGCCTAACTCTGCAGCAGCCAATGATGGGGTAGAAGGGTCCTCAGGCAGGATAGGAGCATCAAGGCGCAGATTAGGTTGACACTTACGGAGGTGGGGGATGGGTTTTCCCAGTTCCAACCAGAAGGGAAAGGCATATCTAGAAGAGGCTGGGGGCTGGCTGGAGAAATCCCACCTGTCATTTTGCAGCCCCTCACTGGCCAGCTCTGGTTACAAGGCAGGAGATGGCAACAGGTGCTGGCCAGGCTGGCAGCAGTTTAATCCCCCACCAGCTCCTGGGACTGAGTGTGGAGCCTGGAGGTCCAGCAGGGGGCCTTGGGGGCAAGATGCTAAGTGGGAGGAGGTATCTCAGGGCAAACTAGGGACCTCTGCAGGAGGCAGCCCCTATGAGATGGAGGGACCAGCGTAGCCAGGCAAAACCTACCACAGCACCTATTTCATCTTTCCAGTGATGCCAGGCTAGCAGGCGGACTAAAGCGTGGGAGGTCTGTCGTCTGCCTGCCTGCCTCTTCCTCCTCCTTACCAAATTCCTGGAACAGGCAAGGGAGGTTCCAGTTGCAGTGAGAGGAGAGCAGGCAGGCGGTCCCAGCTTTGGAGGGGGGGGGCAATGTGTGTGGAGGGGTGTGAGGACCAGAGAGGGAGGCAAGATCCAGACGAGAGCCAGACGAAGCAAGAGACACCCACACCCAAACCAGACGAGGGACACACACACCAACGCTGACACATTCTCACACTCTGGGCCAGGTCCTCGCATGCCGCCCACCCTGCAGGGACACCCAGACACCCTCAACTAACCCTGCCAATTCCCAGAACACCTCCTGGACACACACGGAGAACCAGAGCCTGCCCTGCCCCCACATCCCACAGAAACCCTGTGGGCTCCAGACAGCAGCGGGAGGGCGGAGAGGGAAACACAGGAGGAAAGACAGCAGGCGGGCGGCAGCTAAGATGTGTAGCCAAAGCCTTGCGAGCTGGGGGTATCACTGGCTACACTTCTTTCTCAAGACTCAGGAAGTCATGACAACCTTGGTCATCTCGCCAGAGGCTCTGCCAGCTTCCCACACTCCTAAAACCACCACCACCAGACAGGGGTGTGGGGTGCTGGGAGTGGATTACTGTGCTTATTTGTCAAGGGATAGGATTACCTTCCTTAGACATCCATCACTCTAGATCCTCAGCAGTGCTCCCCAGAAGACACCCACACACACACTGAGGGCTCAACTCATCTCCCCTCCAACTGAGAAGAAGTCCTTCCCTGCTCAGGGATCTGGGCATTTAGGTTTATATCATGGTTAGTCTGCCCCTTGTATCATACAGTTCTGAGGACCATCCAGTTAAAACCTCAGAACCTGAGCAGAGAGACGTGGTGAGAAAGATCCCAGAGGGCAGAGCCAGCCTCAGAGACCAAATGGCTAATGAAAGGACAGCCCATCAGGGTCTGCCGGTGTCCCCCAAAAGGACCCGAAGGCCACTCGGTGTTCTCAGCCCCACACTAAACAGGCTGGCAGGAACAACGTCATGGTGTGTGTGGGTGACTGTGCCCATCGGGGGAGGCACAGGGGTGATCAGGCTGCCTACAGCTAGCTTCCTGCCAGGCTGCCACATGGTTAGGAGTAGGAGGTGAACTAGAGAGGTAACCCAGGGTGGAGCAGGTGCATTTAGGGTCAGACTAAAGAGACAGATATTTAGGGTTGTGGCAGGACAAGGCTAATTCCCAGCCTAGCACCTTCACAGAACTGACTGCCACCAGACCTGAGAAACCCCTCCCGGGATGGCCTTCTGCACACACCACAGGCTCACACCCTCCAAGTGCCTGCAAATCCACCATTGTAGGCTCCCAAGGGCCTCCTTGAATCTGACCCCATTGACCTCCCTGCTGCATGGTCCAGACTCCCAGGCAGGACTGATGTGCCGGTTCCTCCCAGCATACCAACTTTCACAGCCAAACTCTATGACTCCACATCCTTCTTCTTCACAAGGAAGAACCACACATCTAACACCAAACACTCTTCTTGTCCCCCCCAGACTCATTTCCACCCCTCCTGGGGAAAGCCCCAAGGCTCCAGACTACCCCCACTCTAACCTGGGGCCTTCCCCAGCTATGTCTCCGCACAAAGTCCTGGAGAAGTTGGAGAGGTTTGGGGGTCTGAACCCTAATTTCCTAGTAGGACTTAGGAGTCCTTACTAAGTCCTCCACCAAAAGCATCTGCCTTGGGAAGCCTTCAGCGAGAGAAAGGAGATGGCACTCCTGAGTCCCCGTGCTGGCGGGGTGGGTCAAGAGCAGAACGGAGAGTTGGTATAAAGAGCAGGGGCAGAGGAAACAATTCTGTTGGAGAGCACACACATGTGCACAGTCAGCAGGCAGGAGGTAGCGATCTGGCTGCAAAATCGCCAGGTGGCACCAGGTACGAGCAGGGGTGCCCTTCCTTCCATGCCAACATGCTGGGCATCCTATCTAAGACAGGATGGGCAGTGAAAAACAAAAACAAAAAATAAAACCCCAAGAAACTTCTCAAGACTGAGTTGTTGCTTTGTGTGTGTGTGTGTGTGTGTTGTTTTTTAAATTATTTCCATCTGAGTTGGCCCCCACCCCCAGCCTAGCACACTGGAGGATCTGACCCCCTTTCCCACGAACAGTCTGACAGCAGGGCAGTGCCCAGGGAGGAAAAGGGGACACAGTTAAACTGATTTGCCAACCACCCCTCAACATACACACATCTGGTTAGCAGCTTCCAAGCCTCGTGGGTGGCACTAGATCCCAGACATCCTCAGTAAAGCAAGGTCGGCCGGTCTATTCTGTCCTTCCCTCAACCCAAAAGGCTTCCATAACCTCCACGAAACACAAGACACAGGCGCATCTCACCCAACTGCACCGGCTCCCGCACCCAATTCTGACGGCTCCCCCACACTCCAACCGAGACACCAGCTGAGCGGGCCCCGCCCCCCAGCCAGTTCCCTGTGGTGGGGGTGGGCCCCCTGGCTGATTCTCCCCAAACCACAGGGCGGCTCAGGTAACAGGAGAGAGAGTAGGAGGGGGCTAGTCCGTTGGGCATCCGATCTCTCCCCAAACAGGTTTCAAATCTTTTTGTTTGGTTTGGTTTTGAAAAGAAAAGGAGAGTTCCCAGCGGTGGATCCTCCGCGGCCCGGAGTGCCGGGGACACAGGCGGCAGACGGCCCGCAGAAGCCTCAAGGCTGCGCGCGAAGATGCGGCGCAGACGGGGCTCCCCAACCCCGGACACGCCAGCGGCAGGCTGGGAAGCCCAGGAAACCCCGGGTGCCCGTCGAAACCGCCCGCCACCCAGTCCCCGCCCGCAGCTCCCACCCAGAGCAGGCCACCGGGCCCGATACGTGAGAGAGCCGAGGGCTCCCCAGGATCCCAGGGGAGAGGTTACCTCGAAGCGAGGGCATGCAGCCCGTCTGGGTGTCTGTTTGAGCACGGCGTCTGCCCCAAGCCGGCGCCTCGACACTGCCCGGAGTCAGGGGTGTGAGGTCCTCGGAGAGGAGCCGTCCAGGGGGCCGCGGATCAGGGGCGCGGGGCGACGGCAGCGGCCATGGCGAGTCACGTGCGGAGGCTGAAACTTTACCCGGAGCCCCAGACTGGGGGGGCGGAGGGTATGGAGCTGGGGTGGGAGGGAGGCTCCCCCTCTCGAAGGTCCGCCCTTGCCAGCCACGGGCCAATCACTAGCCGGGGGCGGGTTCTCAGGCTCACACCCGTCCCTCTCTCCTTAATAGACCCAGGGAAGGGCGAGTTAAAGACTCCTTTAAGAGGAGACGCTTCCAGCCTACGGCTGGACCGTGGGAATCCTGGAGAATCCCTCCCTCAAAACGCCAAAAAGAGATTCAGAGAGAGAAGGTGTGTGTGTGTGTGTGTGTGTGTGTGTGTGTGTGTGTGTGTGTGTGTGTGTGTGTGTGAAGCTCAGAGAAAAGAATAAAAATAAGACTCGGCGGAGAAAGAACCTCAGTGTGGGGTATCCTACACACTCCCTTTCCCCAGCTACACGCCCACACTCGCAGGGACACACACATCACACACACCTACTAACCCTGGGAAGAGAGGAGGTGGTGTAATATGGAAGAGAACGCACTGACTCCTGCCCCGGCTGTCAAGTCTTTGTCTCTCCTAATCACAGTCCTCCGGGGCCAGCTGAAACTGAAAGCTATCTGACCTTGAGCAAGCCACTTCCCTTCTCTGGACCTTTATATTTCTCATCTGCAAAAACCGAAGTACAGAGAGTGGACTGTTCTCCACACGACTATCTTTCCCCAACACCTCTCCAGCTTGAGTGGGTTAGAGGAAACTTTCTAACAACGCAATTCCTCCTCCGAGCAGCTAGCTTTTATGTTATCATCATACCAAAAGATAGCTCTTGGGTCAGCCAGGACCCCCCCCACACACACACCTCCATTCGAGAAGGCTCCACTCAAGTGGCCAGGGCAGTTCATACATGTTACAGGAGGACAGGATCTGAATAATACTCTATCTGCAGATCTCAGATCTCAGTTCCCAACGGTCACAAGCCCCTTCCCAGCCATTTGGGAAGCTAAAGTCCCTGCGGCTACAGCAGTCCACAGGAGGAGGGTGGGTCCACTGTGGAGCGCCTCCCTCACCTTGTTCCTGGGCAGAGAAGTGGCAGTGCCCCCACAGGACATCCCACTGGAAAGGGAAGTGCCACACACCCAGGCCTCCACCCTAAGGAAGAGACGCTCAGTCTGACCAGGTGGCTCGATTTGCAGACTAGGAACAGGAGGTCCAAGGCCCACAATGAATTTTGTCCACGGTTGCATCGTTTGCTGAACCCAGAAAAGGATGTGGTGTCTGCTTGTCTCTCTCTGGCTTTGCTCTGCGGCCGAGGAAGGTAGCACAGGTCAGGTCGAACCGACGCAAGGGAAAACTAGGCAAAGCGGAGCTGTGCTTCCCCAGGCCCTTCCCGCCCGCTGGGCCAGAGCCGTCTCCCGCTCCTGTCTGGATTTCCGCCGGTGCTAACCACCCGCCCAGCCCCTCCCTCCCCTCCCTCCTGTTCTGTCCTCCCCAGTCTGTCCCATACAGATCCATCCACAAACATGCGCTCAGCAGGCAAGAATGCACCAATGGCTCCCAGATGTGGAGGCAGCCGCTTAACCCCTTACCCTCCACGCACCCCGCCCACATCCCCTTTGAGCCTTCCAGCCAGAGTCCCACCATCTTCAAGGGCCTCCACCCAAGTGAAGAACTAGGCTAAGAGGGGGCCTAGGGCCAGTTCACATCTAGCTCCCACAGGCTCCTCCCAGCCTAGATTCTCTGAGGCAGAAAGGGAAGGTTCATGGACAGGAAAATTCAAGTGTGCATGCATAGAGCTACACTGCCTCCCACATGGACAGCCTGCAGGCACACCTGCCAGCATATGAGTTCAGGTACACTCTTCTTGTACACACACCATGGCGCAAATCATAACCCACACACATTCATGGTGTGAATGTGTACACCTCCAAGACAGATATGCACACCCAGCTCAAAAAAGCACCGAGAGACATCTATGAATATATACAAGAGCATGAAGCGGAGAGTGGACCCTGCTTGTGAACAGATGTAGCTGTAGATCATGTGGAGATGACGGAGGAAACCCATACTTACACAAACCACTTCCTACAGGGGTCAGACACATACAAGAGTGGACACACAGCCTGCACACCTTTGGGAGGCTTCCTTCATGCCCAGTGAACTCAGTGCCACAGGTCCAAAGTGCAGCCCTACCCTCCTCCTACTGCAGAAATCAGAAGTCCCTAGGTGTGTGTGGTGGGGGGCAGGAGTCAGGAGTCCATGGCAGCAGCTGTGTTGGTCTCAAAACATGGTCCCCGCCTACCTCTGCCAGGGATGCTGTTTCAGGAGAGCAGAGTACTTAGAATACAGCAAGAGTCTAGGAAGTGACGAGCTGGGACTCTTCAGGAAACATTCTTAGGGCCTCTGCCCTCCCTGCACAGAGGAAACAGGCTGTGTGGCAGGGGAGACACTGGTTTTCCCAAGACAAGAGTCCCTCTTCAGACTAGTGGAGGCCACAGAGGGCTCAGGCAGGTAAGGAACTGTCAGTGACAGCTCCTAGTCACAGTTCCTAGGCATCAAAGGAGTTGCAGCCTGTGGGAACCCCTAAAGAACAGTTTTAAGCCAGGAGTGGTAGCACACACCTCTAACCTGTAACACCAGCACTTGGGATGTTCCAGCAGGCGCTGCTGGAGTTCAAGGTCATTGCGGCCAGCCATGGCTGCAGTGAGACCTTGTTTCAAAACAGACCAACCAAGGAATAGCGTTGTTAAGTTAGGCCTGGTGGTGTGTGTGTTTACATTACCCAGCATCCCAGCACCAGGGAGGTGGAAGCAGGAGAATCAGGAGTTTGAGGACAACCTAAAGAGGGACAGGAAGGACACTCCACACTCATGCAGGCAATAAGCCAAGTCTGTAGAGGGCCTGGGGAAAAATTGTCTCTCCAAGACCACCTGCAGATGGGTGAGGAAGGACAGATTCGTTGCTAGAGCCAGTCTCAACCGGTTCCTCCTCCCCAGCCTCCCAGCTTGTTTATCCAAAAGGTGTATTCCCCGAGGTTGTCTTGGATCTACTTCTTTTCAGTCCAACATGGGTCCTTTTCCCATAGTACAGAATAGGAAACTGAGGCTTAAAAAGGAATTGCCAACCAACTGTATGTGGTAGTTCATGCTTATAGTTCCAACCCTTGGGACACTGAGACAGGGGACGGCCATGAGCTCTAGGCAAGCCAGGGCTACTAGTAAGTTCCAGGCCAGCCCAAACAAAACAAAATGAATTGCTTTACCAAGGTCACGCAGTTTGTCAATGCAGATCCAGGATTCAAACTCATAGCCATCTGCTCCACGCTCCTGCCCGCCATCAAGTCTACATTCCCCATTTCCTTCGAATCAAACATATCCCACTCTATCCTGAAGCCTGCTACTCTTCCTTTACCTTCTTAACAGAGCATGTGGGGGAAGCATCATGCTTGCCTGGCCCTGCAGGTTTATGGGTAGGACAAGGAGATGAAAGAGACCAGAGACATCACTGGGGGTACACATATAACCACCGCCCTAGCCCTAGCATGATGCCCACCTACCAGGCGGGCATGGCCTGGTGACTCAGCCGCATCCGGGGAAGATGCCAGGGCAGTGACTCACCTACCGAGAAGAGCTGAGTCTGGTACTTTGCCAGCCCCGGGACAGAAGCGACTTAGTCACTACCAGGGCTGTGCTGCCCAGCAGGCATGGCCTAAGGATCAGAAACAGGGGCCGGCTATGTCTTCCCTGGCTACATACGCCCCCTGGTGAAGGCAGGCTTCACTCAGCATCCAGGACTGAGCTGTGGCTCTGCTGGCCCCTACCTCCTCGCTATGCCCAGCCCCACGGTGATACCAGCTCTGCTCTAGTGTCAACAAGGTTAGTGAGACCCTTGGGCAGGGTTGCCCCGCCCCCTTGCAGCCTGCCCCCCTGCCCATCACTCATCACCCACTCTCTGACTTACCCCACCTCCTCCTGCCACCCAGGTTGTACCCAGGCTTTGAGTCTCCTTTAAACATGTCCTGGCAGCACCCCTGCCCCCACAGGCCCTCTCAGCCTCCCTACCCCCACCCCCCAACCCCACCACACACACACACACACACACACACACACACACACACACACACACTCCTGCCAGCAGCTGCTGAAGTTGTTGAGCAGGAGGGAAGTCTTGAGGGTGGGGCCAGGGATTGAGTTACCAAAGCCAATGGGGTGGGCTGTCACCCAATCCCTTCGCTAGCTCATTCCCCCCATCTCCCTCACCCACCTGCCTCCCTCCCTACCTCTGGCTGGCAGCCCGCTGCCCTTTGAGCCCCTCCACCCCACTCCACCCAAACTAGGAAATAAATGTTCACGAGTATTTGTCATGCTAAGACCAGCCCTGTGTATGTGAGAGGGAGAACATGAGAGCGATGGAGACGGTGCCTGTGCTCAGCGCTGGAGATACAAGCGCTAGGTGTGTCTGTGTGTCTGTGTTGGGGCAGAAAGGGACAGAATAACCTGCAGGGTCCCAGTGGAGTTGGAGGGGTCCAAAGGGAGTCGACAGGCTGAACAGCCTCACTCCATTTGCAGTATTGATTTCTCACACTGCAGCCGGCTTGATGGGGGGCATGATAAATCAGGACCCCAGAGACAGGGAAACTGAGTGGAGGGGGAGGGGCTTCTGCACCATAATTTGTGACGCACTCAGAGCTGCCTGGTGAGGAGGTGGCCAGCCAGAAAAAATCGAGAGGCTGAGTGGCAGGAGGTAGGGTTAGAAAGTAGGTGTTAGATTTAGGCGCCATCTGCAACAACTCCCCCCCCCGTTGGCAACACTGATAGGGTCTGGAAAAACTCTATGGGGGGGATGTCATTTACCTCACAATCTAAAGAATGGCTTTCTCCGCACCTATACAACACGGAGCCCCTCAGTAAGAGGAATGCAGACAGAATCCCAAGAGGCAGCCTACCAAAATGTCTCCCCACACCAGCATGCTACCCCTTGACCTTACAGGACATCTGCTAATTACTCTGCTCTCCCTCTGGGGTGGAGGCAATAGCATGGGTCCTGGGCATG